AAGTTATTAGTATATATATATATATATATATATATATGTATGTCATGTACGTATATATATTCGTGCCTAAGTGGGCAAATGCACGTTTCTCATCTCGTGCGTTTTAACTGCACCAGAGGTATTCTCCATATTCCGTAGAAGAAGAAAAGAAGCGATGCAATTAGTATATATGCACAACGCATAAACATCTAGATACTACTACGTTAGTGAGATTTTATTACAGATATACCAAGTATTTGTTGTATATGATCTATATACGATTGTTATACGTATAATTATATATCATTACCGAGTTTTTGCGGTCTTGCTTCATGCGTGACCACGCCGTCACGTGCGATTAATCTATTAACAGCGATTTCGTTAACACTCGTGTTTGAATAAAAGTATTCTATTAAAGAATGTACCATGCAGACTTCTGATGTTTCGATACCACGTGATTGTTGCGCGCATTCACGTAATTACCTTCGGTTATAATTGCCGGCTACGTGCTTGATCTTGTCGACTCCCAAGATTCAATCTAAAAATCTGAATTTTCAAACTGTCAATTGACATTTTGTTTCATATTTTATTTTTTTAATTTATATCTCTACTATTGTCCGTTAATTTTAATTTCCCTTTATTTTTTTAAGTTTAAGATTCGAGATTAAAATCAATCTATACACATTGGTAAAAATGGGCATTAGATAAAAATAGAATTGCAATCTCTCAAAGTTCTCTCAAAAGAGAAAGAATGAGAACGCATATTTAATAATATTTAACAGAGATATATATATAGAAAATTAAAAATCATTTTTAGAATTATTATTCCATATGTTTATAACTTCCCGAGTGACTGATCTATATATAAGATCTCTAATTCAAGGTATTCGATTAAAATTAATATTAGACTAGAAATATTGATCTATCTAAGTTTTAATTGGATATTAAAGTTCCAATAGCGTTCATAAGTTTAACATTAATTATTTCTTCAAACGATCACACGACCGAAATTAAAATAGAAATGAAGTAGAATGAACGGAGAAAAGACGTTTTTCGTAGATGATGAGAGGAAACGGATGATCATGACGGGGGGGGGGATTCGAGGGAGCAACCTCGTGACGCGAGACAGTTTCCGAAAGGGGTAGTATCCCCGGAAAGAGAGCGCATAGGTAGATCCAAAGTAGAGTAGGTCAACTCATAATCGGACCGCAATCTACGTACGTCTCCCTACGCGTCTGTATTTTTGGTCACGTTGAAAGGTCGCGTCCACCCATTGCGGTAAGAACGTCAAAATATAAGACCTCCAAATATCGGAAAAGATGCGATCGGCGGGGGTGAGTTCAGCCTTTTCATATGTTCGATATTTATGTCATCATCGATTTTAAGCGCGATCAAAATCTTCTCGTGAAAAGTTCGTTCTCGTTATGTCATTAGACCGCATTCCATCAAAATTTTTGGCAGTAGCGTGCCTGGGGGAACGCCGCGTTACTAAATATAGCAGGTGGAGGGAAACGATAACGCGAACTTTAGATAAGGATCGCCATGACAACCCGTGATTTAGTGGGGCTTTGGCCTTTACCAAAGTTACAAGCCGGGAGATTAGAGACTTTTTGCGGTAGGATACGGCAAATGTTAACGTCGAGTCTCGTACGTAGCGAGAGCCACGAGAGAGAGACCACTTCAGCGGCGAGGGTGGTAAACTAGGAGACTTTAGTTCACCAAATTCCAAGCTGCGATATTCTTAGGAAATAGCGATCTCGACAAAGAGAATAATCGCGAGTAATCGCGAGTTACTAGCTTCTAAATTTCCGCGACAGCATCTGAAATCCTAGGAAAAGGAATCGTCGCCCTCATTCAGTGTTGCGTCGATTCAACGTACGTAACCGTTCACCGTACTCGTGATGTAATCGAAGGGTACACCCTCTGATATTCGCCGATGACTCCCTAATGTCAAACGGCGAGGAGAATTAGCGGGAGTCACCGAAACTCCATGCGCCGCGACGCGTCTCCACGATACCCCTCTGATACCCCCTATCCCCTTCCGTATTCGGGTCACTCGGTGACCGATGACGCTCGGCACCGAGAGACGTTCGGCTGTGAACTAAAGTCGGGCACGATGCGACTTCCTCGATCACGCCGTGCGGATAAATCGGGATACGGGAAGAGGGAGGAGGCGGCGCGGTGGCGACGGTGACGGTGGCGGCGGCGGCGACGGCGGTGATGGTAGTGGTGATGCCGATGATAGTAGTAGTGGTGGTGATGGTGATGGTGATTGGGCGGTGGTGGTGGCGGCGGCGGCGGCGGCGGCGGCGGCGGCGGCGGCGGCGGCGGCGGCGG